GTTTGCTTGCTACCCGTGTTTATTCCTCACTTGCACAGACTGCGCCTCTGGGTTGAGTGCAATTATCCGTCACTATTAGGCCTCTCAATTTACCTTGGTGACGCAATGTACTGATTGCGTGCAGTGCTCATCAGTACAAAATTAGCCACACTTGGTGGCGCAATCTCCGGAGTGTTGTTTTATGGACTGAAACGTTTTTTTCTACTTTACGGTCAGTCATAAAGTCGTGCATCCTCTTGCACGCATTTTGTCAAAATGTTGGTAGTCGCCAAGTGAGGGCAGCTGACAGCAATTGGTTGATAAATGGTGGTGCACGTCTGCATCGTCCATAACCAGTTCCGGACAGTATGATGACAGTGCTTGTGTTGAGACCACAATATTGCACAGAGTTCGGTCAATTGCAGTGTATCGTCTGTATTACTTCTGCAAATAAATCGTCATATGCCAATCCTCTCTGTACATGTTAAGCTTGAAAACCAAACTGCTAATTCACAGCGATCACAAGCAATAAAATGGTATCACCAAAAGCGCTCATTATCAATGGTCTATAAGGAAATCGAATCTTTCGAGATTAGTCAAATGTAGAAATTAATTGAAGAGTCTGGGATTACATTCACTGTACAAAATTACTAATGTCTTTAACCCATTGGCGTAGGTATTCTATCGTCGTCGTCGTACAGTGAGATACAGGGAAGTGAACCTCGCCGATTATTGCCAAGTTCTCAGTGTGCGCAAAGTAACTGAGAAAGTACAATATGTATAGGATTGGGGTCTAATTGGAGGGAGGCGAAGAAAGTGAATTCCCATGGTCAACATAGAATGCACAACCCAACTGTGCATCCATACCTATTCAGGCATTCTGACCTGAAATAAATGATAACAAAAACCCTACTACTTTCCATTAGTTGTCTTATCCTTCACTGTCTCGAATCAATCAGTTACCGAATCTTTCGAACTCCAACCTGATACTGTCTGCAATTCTTGATGCCCCTTTTCCACGTCATCTGTTGACCTCCACGTGGTTTCTTCCAACCTAAAGCCGCGACTATTAATAAGGCGCAGTGCGGGGAACTAGCTATGGTATGGTGTTTTGTCACTAGTAACTTGAGTGTTTGGAAGGATAACTGCCACAATTTAACTGTTGTATAACAATTGACACTGATTATACCTCCTGAACATCACTCGCCACGATTCACACTGTTGCCCTATTTGCTAGGCAATCCGGTAGTTGGTTCTAGGAATAATGTCTCTCTTATCGGAGTTTCAATAATCCGTATGTTCTTTCTATTTTTGTTTTTACTGCCGACATGCCCTTTATTTTGTGATACTTATACGTCAGTTGCTTTTGTCGTGACTGTTACTGACTTTAATGTACGTGAACGGTAAGATTGATTGAAGGGGAACGCTCCACGGAGTCGTAATTAAAAGGTTGATGTAGCAATAGAGAATAGGGTCTACACAGCACGTTCGCCGTGTACATATCTCTCTATCCTACCACCATTAGATGGATCCCATAACTCCAGGAGCACGTGATATCCAAGCATGTGCACATGTGTTGCTTGGGCGTGCCACTTGATTAGTAGTACATCATTCGCAGATATGTTGCATAATTCTCGTTACGTTTTGTTTGTTTTTCTCGATCTGAACCAGCTCTTTGGATTAAGCTGCTGTTGCTGCATATGCTCTTCTGCCCTCCGTCTGACACTATGTGCTGCGTAATTGAAGAGCAAGCCTGCTCCCGTACACGTTCCCTAATGGGTGTAGGATTCTATGTGGGACGATATCTGTTTCGCACGGAAAACTCCAGAAAACACATTGGCATTCCAATTTGTTTCTCTCAATCTCAGTGTGGTCGCGGTTCATATACAAGCGACTAATCTCGGATCATGTTAATTTCACATAGATAATTGTCACCACAATGAAAAGTTTAAATCGATCAGTGCCCTAGACCAGAATGGCATTTAACTGCAATTCAAACGACCAACGCGTTTAATGATCATCGATTTTTAAATATTCTATTAGTATTGATCATGCACATGCATACCGTCAAATTTGGATTGCACTATTTGAACCCTCGATGCTTCCGTGATGAGAAATTTTGCCGGCGTTTGTGTGTAGAACGGCTGTTGTTTTAGCAGTGGCTCTCAGATAACCTTGACCCCTAGCATTTGGATGAATTGCATTCTATTCGGAAAACCTGTGTCACGCAATACCTTACATCAAATCAGTACAATTCGAAATCGCTATGGTTTGGAAGCTTTTACCATCATCCTGTTTCTCTCTGACAATGATTTCGTTTAAGTTAATCCGCCTTTTTTGAGGTTGGGGTTGTTTGCACATATATGCATACCTCAAGAGGTGTCAATATGCTTTATCCTGATTACTTATCGACGCACCACTCCCTTGTGGCTTGTGTGTTCGCTCACAACCTGACTTCGCGTGGTCGCATGGGTCACGAATTACGATGTATTGTGGTACACTGCCGGGATTCCCATCATTCATCATAATCACATTACTAGATGACCAGAGGTTCACACTCGCACTTTTTTGTACAAAAACTGATTGAGTATGTCGATCAATTGTGCTAGGGCAGACACGTAGGTGCTACCCACTTACCACCATTTATGTTCATGTGCTGCGTGCATGAATTACGAGATAAATGCAGAAATCAACTCACTAAACTCAAGAGCTGTCAAATGCATTGCGATTCATTCATATGCCATCTGACGGTCAATTGTCTCGGATAGCCAAACTGCAGGAGAAACGGCGGACGGATACCGTTTGATTGGCCTCTGTTTTACATACACGATTTTGGCGTGGAATTAGACCCTTCGAATGTTGTTTTGCCCCGTAATTTGTACGCATTTGGTCTCCATTGTCAACTGAAAGTTTGTCTCCGGGTTAAATTAATTGAAGGTTATTCCTTCTCTGGTTCGCCCGATTATCTTTCAATCCACACAGAACATCGCAAAACTGCACGTGGCACATCGATTAAGTAGAATCCCATCAGGTTTTGACAAATTGTTACCTTTCTTCGTCCCGGTTATAGTATCTCTGTATGCACATGTGCACACTCAGGTATAAATGAATGTGTCCGTCCGTCCGTTCACACACGATCATTCATACGCGTCCGTAAACACACATTTACGCACATCTGTGACGTATTCTGTTGTTACGTGTACGCTTGCATATCGGTCGGCATTGTAGTGTTTCTGCTGTGGTTTGTACGCCTGCGTATTCGCGCAAGTTCATAATGCGGCTCGTGTTCGTTTTCTTTGTTATCCATCCATATTTCGACTATTCCGCCTTCTATTTTCATTTCCAGTCCTGTTATTCTCTTTTTCTTTCATCTTTTTAAGTACATGTCCGCAAGCAGTGTCGATGCTTTTCCGAATTGTTGCTTGGGTTGACCATAGTTTTCGCATGATGATAACCATCAATCGAGTTTATATCATTAGACTGGGTTGAATAACTTTTTTACCTTTCAGGTGGATTGTGGAACAGACGAATCTTAACGGGTACCGTTAGTCATATTGCGCTGGAGCACCAACCAAAATGAAATGGATGAATCGTGAATAGTTTCCTATTGTATTGGATCTTATTTACAGGATTAAACATTTGTGCGTGCGTATGTGTATATAGTCTCTAAAACACAGAGAACGCTTGAGACAATCTAAATAGAAAGTTTAAAACTCGGTGCGAATTTTTGCGCAGAGGTAACTATAGAGTTCTTACGCAAAGATTTACGTGGAGCAAATCGAATAGATATGCAAGGAACATTCACATGGGGAATGAGGTTTGTCAGAAAGGACTTGATGAACAATAAAAATACCTGATTTAACACCAGGTTCACACCTAAAATCAATATTGGGAATTAAGAAAGCACATCTTGGCAGCTAATCCTGAACAAGTCAACTGAGGGAGAGATATTTTTGAAAACAAGCGTACAGAATGGGAAAGCATAAAATAATTGGGAAAACACAGAGTAGATGTGCCCGCATGACCTGGGTCAAACTAGAGCATTTTTCACATCTAAAAGTGCTAGTGATGCAATTTAAAAAACTGCGTTGGGTTCAGGGGAAATTATTCAGCTAAATAGTCCTGGAGTACTGAGCAGTGTAAAAGTGAACGTTTGAGGAAATGTCAGGTATGAGTAATACTTTCAAATCTATGTAAAGCTTTAGGAGGATAGAAATAGTCCACAGTTGTTGGAAAGGCTGTGAATGTAAGGAAAAATTGATAACAGATCGTCTTTTATACTGATATGACTGTGTGATAGAACTCTTTCATAGGGGTAATTAAAAGATCAAGCATCGTCTAGGCGCGACGATTATTATCGTCACACTATATATGGAACTATGTGCCACGAAGTGCTTTATTAATGACTGCTTTTTGCATAGAATTATTTGTGGACCAGTGTAACAGCGACTTTGAGCGAGACCACTCGGTTATTGCCATATATACTCAAACTTACGCTTTGTTCTTGCTGCTGGTCGCTGGCTCAATTTATACTCCTTATCGGTCTCAAGTGGTAGTTTCACTGATACCATTTGCAAATATAGACTACTTTTGAAACTTGTCAGTTTAACCACTACTGCCTACGTAGTCCAGACCATCGGTCACACAAACGTTATCATTTTGAGATGTCTTTAATTTTCATCAAATGAATTTTTTTTCCCGAATAATCCGCATTCTTCTCTTTTATCGATTGAGGTCAGAATAAAATGATTATATTTGGTTCATGACTACCGAAATTTGAAACTTCTCTACGAATTATCAATAATTGACATAGCCTTAAAATCACTTATATCCCTTTGGTTAGATACAAGAGCTCCGCCAACTGTTCGTTCTTTCATCTCTCCAATTTGTTTTCACCCTATCCTGATGTGTATTCTGTGATGAGTAGATGTGTTCTTTGTACCAATTCAAATTTTTAATTTTACCTCATCTTTTGAATAAGTCCGAGGGTCTGATGTAATTCTGTATTGTTTTCCTTCCAGGAAATGACAGGTGCTCCTGCTGTCGTTGGTCGTCCAATGGGCACTGTTCCCACCGGTGGTCCTGAAGGTCGACGTGCACTCACTCCCAAGGGCACCGATGTTTTCACCATGGGGCCTGGTAATGGTGGTGCACCTCCGGGTTCCATTTCTTCCGGACGAATGCCTCCTTCCAGTTGTCCGACGGGATTTCCACCCGGTAGTAATGGTGGTGGCAGTAGTGCTTGTTCAAACTCCTCGGTGATGCACTCATACCTACAATCTCCTGATGGTTCTGTTCCTAATTCCGTTGACGCTTCCATGGGAATGCGTTCCACGCAAGCCGGTTCATATACCCAACATCTGACTTCTGCTAGTCTCGCCAGTCTGGCACGGTTGTCTCAGATGTCTGGTCCCGAAGGTCCACCGTATGCCCCTGGATCATCTTCGAACGCTTCACTTACCACCGGTCCTGGGGCTGGGAGTGGACCATTGTCTGCTCCGCCCACTGGTTCTGGTACAACATATCCCAACAGAGGAAATCCCATGATGGCCTATTCACATCATCCATCTCATCATCATCATCAACAGCCGGAAGGTCCGAATGCTGGCCCCGTGCAAAATCCGCACCAGATGCCTCCCCAACTGTTACGTAGTCATTCCGTTTCAGGCAATCTGAAATCTCATGTGGGTCACGAACCAGACCAGTCTATGATTATCAATCCTTCTGGTCTTCCCCCGCAGTCAAACCCCTCCATGCATCCGAAATTTGGTGCTCCAGGCTATCATTCGCAACAGTCCTTACCAACCGGGATGCTATCAACACAGCCCACAACACCATCGCAGCAACCTCCCTCAATCCAGGTAAGCATATTCGTATTCCTATTTGTACGCTTCACACCAGGCTGTGTCAAACAAATCGCACTAAAAGAACCGGTATGTTAAGTCTATCATTTGTTCTTCGGCGGGATGCTGTCAGATTACCTAAGCCCAAACAGGTGACTACTCTTCGGGCATTCACAATCAGAGCGTTGAGCTAACCCAATCTTAAACCAACAGAGCCGCAGTCGATGGCATCTGTAAAATCCTTTTCAGAATCTCTCATTACGACGTGGAATATAGTTTGATGCTCCAAATTAGCCAAACTCTTTCACCTATATTAGGACTTATTCCTCCTGATTTCAGCTTCAATCCAGGTTAGACAGGAGATCAATTATTTGTCCAGACGGTTTCCTGACTGGTCATTGTTGGTTTATTTTGAATTTACGCATATTATTGCTATTTTTTACGTGGTCAGATTGGATATCTTTTTTCAAATCTCTTTACTCACCCCATCCAGGTGAACAATACCTTCTTCAATGCCCAGTTGAATGTTCAACAAATGAATTATCAACACGTAAGCGCCCCCGGGTCGACTGGTCAAATGCAAATACATTTTGTCCAACAACAACAGCAGCAGCAGCAACAACAACAACAGCAACCTATGCCCCAGTCACATGATCCACCAACCAGTCATAGATCGTCTCGCCCTGCAGACCCAACGTCTCGTATGTCCTCCAGTTGTACAACAGTGTCCAATAGTACAACAGGTAATAACGTCACCACTACCACCGCCTCTATAAATAGCAATGCCGGACCGGACTACTATCATCCTGCCTCAGAAACTGGCTTGATGCACCGACTAGGACCGAGTTATCCCAACGAGATCTCAATGAAACCGGATCCACTTACCGGGGGAATGACACAATGTACGACTCTTTCAACCAATAACAATGCTTCTGGTGGCGGTGGTCCTCCTGTTTCTGGCTACGGTAACACTAGCATTCAAATAACCCCGAAGACACCGCATACTATCCAGTATTTACCCACGGTGGCCCCGAATGCCCCATCAGATGCACAACAACAGCAGCAACAACAACAACACAATGTTCAGTATGCAACTTCAACACGACCTGGTCCAGGCAGAATGAATTCCACCGGCACTAGCAGTGGTGTGACCAATACAAGTACCACTAGTAGTAACAATAACAATATAAATGCAGGTGTCACTGGAAACACAAATGGCCCACCATATGGTCCCACGGATTCCGAGTTCGATTCTACCGTCCGACAACAGCCGTCCATGGGTCCCAACGCTCCTGTCCAATTTCATCCAGGGCAAATGTACCCGGGTTCCCATCATCCGTCCGGCGCCCCGCCATTGTCTCAGCCTTCAAATAATTTGCCTCCTTCAAGCTACCATCAAACAATGCCCGGGAATTCGATGAAATTAATCTCATCACAATCGCATCCGTCCTGTCGAACGCCTCTCGTCAATGGCCCGTGGACGAGCGGCTCGGATTCCCAGTTCGATCCACACAATCCCATTGGGTCAATATCTGGTCCATTCATGGATTCTACTCATACGCTTACAGGTGGTATGGGTAAGTACTTCTTGACTGGGGATTCGAATTCTCTTGTTATACAGCAGTAGTCTGATTAATTTCACTTCATTAACTACTGTTTCCTTTCTCACTGGAGTGTGAACTTCAATCTTTTCTAGGCTTGTTCGGCATTGATTTTGTGATTCTTGAATAACTCCCTATCATTCAGTAAATTGAGTTGATTTCCGAATTGTTAACAGTTTGGGTTAATTCGGATTGGTTATTTCGAGTACCATCAGGATGAAAGTTGGGGTTAGAATTTTGTGAATTCATATGGCTGTCACATTGACTGAAGCTACTTCCGTTTGTCGCATTTCTCCACTCACAGACTTTCCACGTTCTCTGCCTATTTCAGCTGGGCGTCCTGGTGTTGGTAACGGACCTGGTCATCCAACTATGAAGGGTTTGGGTCCTTCTTCTGTTGGCTATCCACCAAACAGTTTGGGATTCCCACCCGATTCAATAGATCCTTCTAGTGATCATATGCCCACCCAATTCATGTCCGATCCTATGGGTATGAATCATCGTGGTCCTGGTTCCGGTGGCTCATCTCAGTACGCTCGACCCCAGCCCAGTGGCCGCCATGTCCCGTATGAACAGACCTCGTCACAAGCACCACCATCACAACAGCAACAGCAGCATGTTTATCGCCAACAACAACAGCAACAATACAGTCACACACAAGCCACCACACAGCAGCAGCATCAAATGTTCATGTCGTCGTCCAACTACATGACTGATGGATCGGGTGGCTCCGGTGGTGGTCAGATGCAGTTTGTTATGTCTGCATCCAGTTCGGCCATGAATACCTCATCCAGTTCTTCGATGCAAAATTGTTCCAGCAGCATGATGACCAGTGAAACGGTCGGGATGAATCAGTCGGCTGGGCCCGGTAATTCAGATGCGAAACCACCTTCTTACGATCACTCAAAACGAGCTCTTATGATGTCTTCTGGTATGGATGAATTGAAACCGAATCAGATCGCGATGTATGGTGGGCCATCAGCATCACAACCTCAACAACAACCGCACATGCTTCAGTCTCAATTGAGCTCTGGGCGAACTACCGGTCGTCCACTGTCTAACACAGGAATGACGTCTAGTTCCTCCGGTGGAATGGATCCTCATTTTGGTGGCCCCTATCATCAATCGGGTCCTTTCCCAGGCCCAAATTTTCCTCCGGTTCCGTCTATGGGGCCAATGTATGGAGAGAAAAGTGGTCGAGAATTAATGGGCGGATCTCAGTCGTCCTCTCTGTGTGATGTCTCTTCGGCTACTGCAACCGGCATGTCACAGGTAACCTACCAATCACCTGTGATGCAGTAGTATTTTGCTCTATTCACCGGTTTGGTCCTCGTTCACCGCGGGGTCGAGTAACATGATTACTTGATTTATTGCGAAAATCAATCGTGTCTATTTCATTCCGCTCCTACTCCAGTTTGATCTTTGATTCTATTGTGGTGTTTTGTGTGAATGAGAAAGCACCATAGAAGTTGTTAAACCATCAGTTACCATCTGGGCTGACACCTACAAGTACTGGGGCTCTGTCTGTCTCGAACCGAACATTTTGTGGTATCCTAGCCACTCTGCGTGGTCAATCGAACATTGTACATATGTGTATGCCTTGTGTATTTCCCGTGAAGACAATACTACATAGATTCAGTCACCAAGTCTTGGATTATTTCTCTTTTCGTCCGATTCTCCATCACAACCTCTTCATTCCCCCTCCTAGTACTCATATTCTCATTGCCTCACACATCCTTTCATCTGTTTTCACACCCACACTCATCCAGTCATACAGCTGGGTCATTTGTCCACTGAACTACTTTCTCTCTCCCTCTCTTACATCTCACTGACATTTCCGTTTGTCAATTTGTCCATCCATCCGTCTATCTACCCATCCATCCATCCATCTTGACCGCCGCACCATCTTATCCTTGTTATTATTGATACTATTGCTATTGCTATCACTATTATTATTATTATTATTATTTACCATTACGACTAATACTGCCATCATCACTCAGTCCTATTGTAACCAGAGGAATAATGCCCATTAGGTGTGGCAATTTATGGTAGTACTACTTTTTCTCTTTCTATTTCTATACTTTGCTCCACCCCAATCTTGAAAACAAATGGCTGCTGCTCCGTTCAATTCATCCACTCCCTTTCTCAGTTTCCCTGTCTATCCGACCTACTGTACTTACGTGCATTATTTTAACTTTCTTTTCATATGCATCAATCTCTCACCCTTATTCTCACTGGATCTCACACTGATATTTCTTCAATTAAAAACCACTTGCCAGACTCACATTTCCCGTTTGATGTACCAATCATGCTCTCAAACAACTCCCATTCCCATTCGATCGTGCACAAGCGAATGCTTGTTTCCGTGTATAGGGCCACTACTCAACCCCTTCTGTGACTCCATCCCATGCACTTATGTTGTTGCCTGGCATCTCTTGTATTGGTGATCACACTTACGGCCTAAGCGTGCGCACCGTCGTATCCCCCTCTGGCCTTGAGGTTTTCACCTTGTTGGCCTCTAAAATCTGCTCGCTCCCCGCTCCCATGAACCGTGTTCGACGGTCAGCACCTTGATGCAGCTTGTATATGGCCCCTGTTCAATCCCTTCCCCTTTTAGACATATTCGCAGTTCATTTTCAAAACACTTTGATGTATTGCCTCCCCTCTACCGATCACCCCCTTCCAACTTTTGGCTCTTTTCTGTTCTATCTGCGTAATTGACCACAACCAGTGTACTTTGTTCGATCATTTACGCGTGGTCTTCTATCCCTTCCGTTCTCCCTGACACATTTTCTCACTCCGACAAACCCACACATGCCAACTTTATCTGACTGGAAATTTTTTTCGATTCCATATTGAGTTTGAAATGCAATTGCTTCTTCTTCTATACATGCGGTATCCAAGTTAAAACTTTCTTGTCTTTTGTCGCAGCCGGAATCTATTCTGCTATCGTTCTTTCTGTCAGTCTCCAGAAAAGTCGGTGCCGGGTCCCTAAACATCTCGCAAAAGACCAGCGGAGTCGAGAAAACTTCCGTTGTTTGAGGAAACAAGTACTGTAATTCTCACGGAGCTAGAGTTGTTACGGAAATGAGTGAAACTAATGTGATTGCTGTATTGGCATAACTCTAGGTCGAACCACATGATACGGATCAGAGTTACTGAGTAATACCTTTCAACGGGACCCCGATTAGATGTCTAGACTCCATTTTCTATAGACAAATTGATTGGGCGTTTTCAAATGGGCTTACCAGTTTTGTCGTCAACATCAGTTATACCAACGACGTAGATCTGCTAGAATTTCTGAAAGCATCAACTGCTTCTGACACCTCGAAAATCTCGTGATTTTGTTCTTCATGTTTTTGACATCTTCGAAATACTGTTGCCTCTTCTTGTATACAAAACACCTGTCCTGATTGACCGCCATTCTTATCCGAAGAATGCCGTGTGATGAATAATGACAGCGCAGGGAAACACGGGATTGGTTATTTGAAGATGGCACAGTTTACACTGTTTGCAAGAATAATGAATAGATGCACGAGCGCCACTGTTTGCGACACCCAGCCATATCACTCAGTGTCCCTAACTACCGGTTACCATGATCCCGGGTCCCCATCCAGGAAGCCTAGCGGGATTTGTGTGACCCATTGTCCTGGTTAGGGTTTTTATACCCTCATGTAGACCTACCATCTTCAAAGTACGCATACAAGTCCTCACTTCGAATATCACGCTGCATTCTTTAGTCTTACCCCATCTTCACTCTTTGTGTCAAGTGATTTGGCGTCTATTCCTCACGGTATACTCTGATGTAGTTCAAGGCGGAGCCCTCGTTACTTGATCCAAACACAGTCAGTGATAGACTGTACACCTCTCGATTTGACGGGACAACAGAAATAGAACGAAGCTCGATGACCGCCTGGGCGAGCTTTTGAACGGCTCAGTTTTCCAACCTGAGAGTTAAAAGCACCTACAAACACAACTATATCGGAGCTTCGGCTCAACCGAATTTGTCATAGTAGTCATTCTTTGTGCGTCAAAACTGCAGTTGATCAGCGCATATGCTGAGATGATGGTCAAACAACAAAGGTGTTGCTTTCCTCTCGGACGCTGATTGACTCCTGAGGCCGCATCGTACATGAACGACTTTTGACAGGGGATCAATCGACAAGAGAGGTTTTGATTCTTTTTCTGAGTAAAATACCCACGACGCCTTCATTTATTGCACGGGCATCGTAGTCGCATGATCCACAAAAAGTCCATTCTATGCGCCAGACAAGCTTGTTGCCTTCGCTGTATCGGTCCTCATTTTGAAGGACCCTAGATTCAGTGATTGACGAGGTTTTTGAATCTGCAATGTATTTAGCGCTAAACTACTTACAGAGCTGCTTGACAACAAGCTTTGGCGAGTGACAAACAATTTTTCTCATGGAATGTTACGGGTTGAGAGAATGGGCAAAACGAGAGGGTTGTGTATAGAAGACAAAGAGTTAAGCAAAATTTGAAATGTCTGGGCCATCGTGCACTCATCACTGCCCACCCCACTCGATGCAGTGGGTAGCGCGGTCGTTATTATCCTGCGCGACGACCGATGTAGTAGGACATGATGTTTGTATTCGCTTCAGAAGGCGGTGTTCGTCAGGGTTTCTCCCTCCTTCCCTCTTCGATTTCGTAATAGGTATGTTCATGGGACCAACCCTGTCTTCATGCGAGAATAACGGTGTCAATATTCCCCCATGTGGAAATTTGTCTGGTCTGGAAAGTGCAGATGCCATTGCACTGCTGAATGAGGGTCCCGTTAAGTTACCAGGTTTCTGGATGACTTTGAATGGTAGCCACGTTCGGTGCGCATTTTGCATCTCCAAAGTGTAAAATGCGGCTACAGGATTGGGCTGATCCAGTTTCGAATCTCACTCTGACTGGAAAAACAATAGACAAAGTATACATTTGGTTATTTCGACAGATAAATCTAACCTGATGGACTAATCCCAGATGAGGTATTGTTATGCATATGGATGTCCTGGTTGATATTTGCCAATCTGCGGCGCCCTCTCGACATTTGACTGACTTGGATGAGTTGAGTGTATGCCTTATCAGTTGGGTCGATGGTTCTGTATGACGCAAAGAATTGGNTGTTATGGGGCCCGTATAAACGTAGACCACATGAGTTTGAAAGCTGCTGTCTGATTGCGCATGTATGATGGGACAAACGGATAGACAAAACTGGCATAATGCGCCGAATTTTAAGTAGTCGCTTTAGATCACTAGAACAAATTTTAGTTTTCCAAAGATTACATTGGTTTGGGTATGTGTCGCACATGCCTTCAGATAGACTCCCTCGACCGATACAGCTAGTGGGTGGAGGATAGATGAATAGTATACTAAAACCTAGCATGAGGTTGTGAAAATCGCGGTGGCGGATTTGAGCATATTGATCGCATTAAGCTTCCCGGTTGGGGGTTTCAGGAAATGTTTAACCGCTGGTTGCTGACATTGAGTTTAGTAAACAGTGATGTTCGTTCATTAATTCAGTTTCCTCGCAAGCTTATGTTAGCTGAGCTCTCTATTCACAACTTGGTACTGTCTCTTTCATCATTGTTCGTCCAAATGGATAGCTATTTGACATGGATCACATTCGGCACATTTGTGTGCGAGGACTGAACCGAGATAGAATCTGATATTTAGCTATTAGTATTTTAAGGTTTTTTATTGGTTCTAAACATGCAAAATCTAAATCTCACTTCCTGGTTACCTGGATAATCCGACTGGGATTGGACGCATGGTGGCGTTTCCCCGTTTACTGAACTTACGTGCCCTGCTGCGAAAAACCTTTCAGTGTCACATTGCAACTTTTGTTAAGAACAGCATTCGTAAATCTCAATATTGCATCTTCAGCATTTTTTTAGTGTGTAGACTAATGATGTCCACGAGTGAGTAGGTCGAGCAACGGACAACAGAACGAAGAAGAGAACAACTGATATTACGACAGTTATTTTGCTATGATCTGTAGAGCTGGTAGAGGGAGAGAAGCGTGCAGAAAGTGAAAGTCAAGCAGTCGAGACCAACTAGGTAGTTTTGGTCCGGCAAAACAACAGGTCCGATTATGGGAAAGGTGCATATTCGGATAGGGTTGATGCTATCAGTACAAGTATCCGTCCGCCTATGAGTGAGTCATATACCCCTATGCACGGAATCTTCTTTCAGACGCACTTCATTCTCTGCTTAACTATGACTTGATTATGGAGTCTTCCTTTTTATTCAGTTTGTATGTGGTCAACCGGGTGAGAGCTATCAAATGCGCTGAG